ATCAATAAACAGTACTTTATGCATAAAAAACGTTTTTTAAGAGTTTTTGTCAAATGCTTTATAATATAGTATAGATATGTTCACAGTTACTGAACTTATATATATATGAATGAGTTATATAAAGATGTGAATAGATTGAAAATATATGTATATGAAAAGCATACATAATAGTGTAATTATCTAATGTATATATTAATAAAAATTCAACAATCATATTAAATCCAAGAATTAAAAAGATATCGGATTCATCGGGTTGGGGTCAAATAACATCAACCAAATACCTACGGTTTGACAAATTTTCAACTCGATTAGACATTACGCATTGGGTTGGGTTGGTTTTTGAGCACCCCTAGTTTGAACCCTTGAGACCGAAGACTAGTTTATAACAATGTGCAATGATATAAAAAGACATATTAGAATTGTTATATTTGTTTTCTGATAACTAAATATATTGAATAATAATATAAAAATAATTAATAAATAATATCAAACATATAATGTATAATTAAACGATATTAATTAGTAATGATTTTTATTTATTAATATTAGAAATAATAAAAAAAGCATCAAATAAAGTTGTTTATGCCCTTTTTTTATGTACTACAGTGGGCATAAAGCAACATAACCTATGTAATAATACTACACACACAGCTACTTGAATATAAATAAATAAAATTATAATAGAATTTATAATTAAAAGAAAATAGAAGTAGAAGTAGAAGGAATACTCTAGAATGGATGTTGGGTTTAAAACAAATCACCGTCTCTTTCTTCCATATTTCAACACCGAGTCTTTAGAGAGAGAGAGAGAGAGAGAGAGAGAGAGAAGAACAGCAGGAGACTTCCATCTTTCTGGGTTTGAAGCACCGCACCACTGTCCGGAGACGATCGAAACGGATTCGGTTTCTTGGTTCACCAACTTCAATCGCAATATCTGAAGAAATCGATGATCGTGAACGAATCCCTGATTTCTCACCAAAAGAAGAATGTGTGTGTTTTTGATCTGTTTTGAATCTTGTTTTCGTATTCCTTTATGGGTTTTTGATTCTGGTTCTTGATTACTTTCAAGGTTTCTTGAATTTGTTTGTGTGGGTTTTGTTGAATTAACAATAACAATTGATATTGTTCATTCTTGTTTAAGGTCTCTGGAGGAGATCCAAACACATCCCATYCAACCGAATATTATTCAATCATCCAACTGAAAGAAACTATTATTGGATCTCCCAATACTTATTCTGTAAGTATTCTCTCGTCTCTCTCTCTCTCTCTATATATATATATATATATATATATAATGCATGTGGTTGATCATCATCTTCTTTAATAATCTTGTTTTAGTTTTGGGCTTCTTTTCTGAATCTTGATCATTCATCATCAACATCTTCTTTTTCTTTATCTGAATCTAAATCTTGTTATTTTCTTTAAATCTTTTTTTCATCATCAAATCTATGCTTTGGTGGAAGGGGGTTTAATTTTGTTTCTTAAAACATTTTTTTTTTATGGAATCAAGTATTCTGACATTATTTTAACAAGTTTCTAATTTTATTTTGTTGAATATAAATTGCTTTTCTAATACAAATTTAAACTGTAATTTTTAATTTAAAAATATAAAACAAAATTTTAATTAATATATATTAAATATTGATGTGATTGGAATAGATTTTAATTTTGTTTTGTTTTTATATTAAAAAAACACTAATAGTTCTTGGTCCTTGTTTTCATCCTTTATACACAATTTATTTAATGAAATATTTTTGGTATCTACAAATGATTTATATTTTTAAATTAACATTTTTCAGTGTTTAATATTTACATTTTCTTAAAATCAAAGTCTTAGAGATTATATTATATTTTTAATATAAACAATTTATATACAATATTTGTAATATTTTTTTCATCTTGATATAATAGATGCAATATTTTTCTTAAATACCTATTACTTTTTAATTACAGAAAAAAATAAAAAAGAACCGTAGCCGCCGATTTGAATAATGTACAATAATTTGTAAAAATATTAAACTTTTTTATATATATTAAAAAAATGTTAAGGCTTGTCATCAAAACTTAATCTTAAAGTTTTAATTAAGAATTTTTATGTGTTTTTGGGTTTTGTCTTGTA